ATTAAATGCATGCAAGAGCATGCACAAGTCCATTTCTCCTCATGTTTAAAAGTGGTTTGCATCGCTCATACAAGCTTACTTTCCTAAAGGAGATTTGCTCTATTTTCTCTATGTTTCCTCATCATCAGTAAGAGAAAATGGGGACAAGCACGTAGGACGGCCTTACGTAAACGTACCACCAGAGTGATTGACAAATAGGAGGACAACTTATTTTGATGGTCCACATGGAAAAAGAAAATTCTCCACTAGACATTTAAATTTAAAGCTTTATTTTGCAAATAATCTGGAGATATGTACATATCTACAGATATGTTTCTATATCGTGACAGACCTATGACTAATGCAGTGTTAGGACTCAATTAATAAAGCAGTATAACAGAAACCAACACAAGATTCAAAAACGCATTTAGCACTATCCAAAGTGCAGGTCATGTTAGGAGTTGTCCATTTAAAAACACAATCTGGAAAGCTTGACAATGATATATCGATGAAGAAACACCAAGTTCAGATAACAGCCTCATGAGGAACCAGGAAACAGGCTTGTCAACAGCTTTTTTTTTGTTACAAAATAATGAATAATTTAAAATTTCTACAGTAACACAGAATTACTAGTTTAATAAGGGAATAGTTTGGCATCCAAGCAGAATATAAATAGACTGATCCAGTTGTCCACAGTGCCTTGCAACACACTAAATTTCCTTTTAACCTTTAAACATTATAATACATCACAACCATAAACTCCACTTGGTTCCTACTAGATTTATACAGCCAGCCTAGGTTGGCTGAGGAGCAATTGTAACAATTCCTGCAGATTGTACATTGAAAAAAGGAGTACATTTTGTGCCCTTCTAACATTTAAATATGCTTTTATTTGAACAATTTTATATTAAGCTGCCGGGATTGACCCTTTGCCCCAGAGCAAGCTTTCAACCTTTAACTGATTTTGTTCCATGATTTACCTGAATTGCTCTCTTTTTCTTTCCTTTTATCAAAGCCATTTTTCCCTGCTGAAAAACATTCCCAAAGCATGATGCTCCGACCACATTTCACTTGAAGGATGCTGTGTTCAAGGCTTTTATCATAAATAGCCTTTTTGAATATTATTAAGCACCTAACCTAAATGGTAATCCTAAAAGTTTATCATCATTAATTTGAATAAAAAAAAAAATGATACACCTGCTTTATACATTTTGTTAGCAAGAGCAGTTCCTGAAAGGCAAACTAAACAAGCTGAAAACAACCAAACAGCAGTAGATTGAAATTTCACAGGAGGGAGACCTTTTAGTGTATTTTTGTCATGGATGGAGTATTTCACCAGCTGGACACCTAAGCGTGCCCAAAAATTTGTACAAATCATTCCTCTGTACTTTGGTGCAATAATTATTCTGGGAAAGTAGATTACTCTCAGAAGAGCTTCAGAGATTTCAATATATCTCAACATTTGGAAGTAATTTCCCACAGGGCCTGGGGAAACCTTCCCTCTTCTCAGCTCCAAGACAAACAGAAATGTTTTGCCGGCTGCGATTATAGTTACTCAGCTCATTTGTAAAGCTCACAATCTTCATCAAGGAGCTCTTGGCGAAGGAAATTTGACATGATTGTTACCACGCTGACTGTGGGAGTCGCTCGTCAAATCAGGGTCTTATGTCAGATCATAGCTGAAGTGAGATAGAATGGTTTACAATTGGGAATTATGTAAAAGTCACCTGTTGTTCTGATCGAGTCAAAACAAGGAGTCACACAAGATGCATTCAGATCACTTATCAGCGAAACACATCAAAGCAAGCAAACATCTACAATGCCCCCTATGAGAAGCCAGTTGAGAATCAAATTGCTTTTTATGTGCATGGCAGAAAATTTTTGACACTATGGGAAAAACTGCCTTTTAATTTACCTCAGATCCCAATAATGGGGCCACAGTGGTGTCGGATGTAGGAGTTTGCCCTGAAATGGAAGGGTTGATGGTTCAAGCCTCTGGAGTTCAGTGTTGTTGTGTCCTTGGGCAAGACACTTCACCCGCATTACTGTATATATTGATGGTGTTTACAGGGCCTGGTTGTGCCAGTGTAAGGCAGCCATACTTCTGTCAGTGAGCCCCAGGGCAATTGTGGCTACACCATCGGTTTGTCAGTGAATGGGTAAATAACTGAATGTAGTGTAAAGAGCTTTGGTCAAGTCTCCTGACTTGAAAAAGCGCTATAGAAGTACAGGCCATTTACCTTAATAATTTAACATGAAAGTTGATCCTTTTGACACTTTGGCACAATGGATGTTTGAACAGAGAAACATGGTACCTACATGCCTTGAAAGTTTAACAAATTTAAAAATAAAATTCTCTTCCTGATTTCTTTGAGTTTTTCCAATAACGCCACACATGGATGCAGTGTTGTGTGTGTTATTACTTTTTTTTGTTTTCATTGCAATTCACCATGATGCCAACCAGAATAGAACTTAAATAATCTGACAACCTGACATGTTTCCTTAGATCTAAGAAAACATGTCAGGATTTCCACGAACAGTACAGGAACCAACATGACTCAAGACGACCATGAACTGTTAGAAGCTTGACCAATGTGGTCATTGTCCAGAGTGAAGCCTATGACTGACAAGGACAGCAGCAGGTATATTTGGAGGAATCAAGGTGAAGCTTTTATCCAAATATTGTACAAATAATGAATGGTTAATGGTTTGTACTCAAAAGCCCTGCATCCCAGCAAGGGAAATTTCGATTTGAACGCCCCCGAAAGCTGGAAATGTGAGCTATAAAGTCAAGACAACGCGACCGTATTTGACCTCTGCATTTATTATGGATGGTACGTTACATTGGCCTTGGAGGCCAAAACAAACAATGAAGAACAAAAGCATCTACATGGAACATTGTCGTCTCACAAATTACTTCAATTTGAGTTTTGAGGTAAATCCAATACACAAAGTGTCGTGCATGGGTTGTGCAATAATGACAAAAGAGCATGGCCTTCTTAAAATTTCAAGAAAAATGGGTCTAACAACAGAACTTAGAATAGTTTCTAGACTGGATAAGTGGGGCTAAAATAAAATTTGATTCAGCTTTTATAAGTGTGTTATATTAGTTTGGCCAAGAAGATATACCAAATAACTTCCCAGAATTTATACTAGAATCTTATTCTCTTGGTGTCAATGATTTATATATGATTCAGTTCAATTCAGTTTCCAGATTTATTCAGATTTTTTATAGCACATATTTACAACACATGCAGTCTCAGGGTACTTTATAGAGACAATTTAAACAGATAATACAGTCAGATTGGTAAAAAGAAGAGACAGCAGTGGATATTTGCTTACATTTTGTCTTTGACTCCATAGAAATCCCTCACATCTATGATGAGCACATACAGTTAGTCACAGTAAAAGCTGAGCCTATTGCTATGTCCAGTTGATATATCTTTCCAGGATGGTCAGATTCCAGATTAAGCAAGCAGAGGGAACATAAAGTTAGAGGTTGAACTAACAAATACCACAGAATGGGAGAAAAAAAGATAGAATGAAGAAGAACGATGAAAAGTGGTCCATATGTCCTCCAGCAGCGTAAGTCTACAGCAGCATAGAGATAGTTCAGGATAACGTGACTAACATGACACTGAGCTTTATCGAAAATGAAAGTCTTGTCTCAAAAGTAAACACTTTGTCTGCCTCATTGGCTAAACTGGTAGTTGGCTGGTATATAACATTTATCTTTCAGGCTTCATATATGAGCCCCACAATTAAAAAAAATGTAAGGTGTATAACAACCCATGCCTTGAAAAAAAAAAATGGAGAACTAAAACCCAGAATAAGTATGACACTCAACTCTATGATTAATGTTTTTAAACATGTGACCATGGCTGTATAATGTATGAGATGCATTAGCAGTCTGTACACTGGGGGCTAAATATGGAAGGTTAAAATCAAGTGTAGCAGCTGAATCTAATCAAATTAGGAGTAAATGGGAAGCCTTGTGTTTTTCCTTTATCCTCTGTAATCTTAATGAAATTAATTGCATCTCGTATATGGTTTGAAAAGTTTTCTTATAGTAGATTAAACGATCTGTAGGCCTACATGCTTTTCTATGTGATCTTGATGCTGATAAGTAAAGGTTGCTTTATTCATTTATTCCTAATCATGCAATTACAAAATTCAAGAAATTAGCATTGATGATGTAAGATCAAGTGATAAACAAAAGACATGAAAATATTTTGGAACATTACAATTTTATATACAGTATATATATATATATATATATATATATATATATATATATATATATATATATATATATTTATATTGAGATTTTACATGATCAACACTAGCTAATAAACTTTTGAAGTCCATCTAAACTGAATTTAGTTCTAGACTTTGATTAGGCCATTCTAACACACACAAACCAACCCATCCTAGATCTTATTGTGATTTAGGGTCTTGCTGCAAAGTGCTTCTGGGAAACTACAAATTGTTTCATTTTGCAGAAAATTCCTATAATTTTTTTGCCCTGGCTTATATCTGAGTGTACCAGAGGGTATGAATCTTTATGTCTTAAATATATTTTAAAACTTTGCAATTGTGCCCTACAACCAAAAATTTACCTTTCAGTCAGGTTTGTGGTTTCCACCAAACAATTCAATCTGTAGCAATAGTTTTACTATTAAGAAAATATTTATATGTTGAGCATACCCTGCCAAAAAGTTCAAGGTCAAAGAAAAGTTTCTTACATTAAAAAAAACCTAAGAAAGAAATATGTCAGAAATATCTCTGAGCTGGAAGGAAAGATGAAGTTTATCTCTGCCTGATGGTTGGGTGTTATTATGTTTGTTTTTTTGTTTGGCTGTCCCTACGGTCCATAGAGGAAACCCATCCCTCGTGAGTAAAGTGAGCGGGGTGGAGGGAGTGTGGGGGGTGTTCACCATTGAGGCCTCAGTCTTCTGCCTTTTCATTGGTCAAAAAAAACAACTGTACCAGTTTAAAAGCAGACGCCGCTTTCTTCCCCCCTTTTTAGACGGCTCAACCCCTAAACACAGGACATATAGGGAGGGACTGACACAGAGCTGCAGAAAGATAACAAGAGTTGGTTTCAGGATGCCTGCCTACTCCACCAACATGAGGCTGAAGTTCCCCATCCTGGCCTTGATTTTGGAGATTATCACCATCATCCTATATGCTGTGTTTGTGACCTATGATGATGGGCATGGCCATCATGATGATCACCACAAAACCAATGGCACTGAAAAATCTCCTTTGGATCTATACCCTAGTAAGTGATGCTGATGGATGCTCTTTTTTGGATTCTCACTATTTAACTCTTAACTTAATCCTAAGGCTAATCTACATGCATTGCAGCTTTTTAATTACCTAAAGGTGCAAAGAAAACATCTAAAAGACTAGGCTGTTTTTCTAAAACAAAATAAATGTGGGATGTAGCTGATATTCAAGCAAACTTCTTTGAAGGTTTAGATTCAAAAGATCATCTTTCCTTATGTGCTTTTACCTTGACTAGTTGTAAACAGACATAGAAACATTTAAAAGTAGTTTCAGGTGCATGATTATAATTTTTTTGTTTTGTTTATTAAAGATGCACTAGTAAGCTTTTCTTACAGTCAGATTTCTGCAGCCAAGGATCTAAGAGGATCCTGCAGGAGAAATTGTGATCTGTGGCAGAAAAAAAGCTTACATGTGATTTTCATTAGTATGTCACAGAGGTAATTACAGACAGTCAGTCATAAGGTGGCCAGAGCAGCAAATTGCAGCTTCTGTTGCTTTGTGAGAATCCCATCTCCAAGATGCCTTGTGCCTTCAAAGAGGCACTGAGGCTCCTCTTTGCATCTGAGCAACTTATCTGCATAAAACATAGACTGAAGTTGCAGTTAATGAGCTGCTGTTTGGTCTGCTGATGGCTGGGTGGGGCAGGTGTGAGTCTCAGAGATTAGTGGAGCCTCCAGAATTTTGAAATCTTTCACCCTAGATATGACGATCTAGTTTCACTGTAAAAGATTATGTATTATTTCTTCCTAGCCTTATATTCATCTAAAAAAGCTGATATAAATATGTTTCAATGTTTACTTTACTTTGAATATATTTTTTACCTATTCTGAATTAATTCATGAACATACAGTTATTGATTAAATATGGAAATATGTTGTTTTGAGATTATCTGGCTCAGCTCAGAAAAATGGTGAAATAAAATCATTCATTCTCCTTTTGAAGGTGATGCTGAAATAAATTCAAAATTCAAATAAATTCAAATGCAGCTGTGAAATACCTTGTGGTTTAATGCAGATTGCCTTTAAAGAACAATAACTGGCATCAGTCTTCACTCAGCTCTATGGATGCTCCTTGGAGGATTTTCTCTGATCTTGGCACGCCAATGCAACGTTACCTAACTTCTGGGCGTGTCGCCATTTATAGTGGCTGCTCACCAGTTTTATTTCACAGACATCCATAAACCATTGATCACTGTATTGTAATAACTCATTACAAGCAAAGACAAGTAAGCAGGTCTAATAAAAGCAGCTAGTAATCAGAAAGTGGTCAAAAGAAAAAAATTATAAGAAAAAAGATTTTGTATCTTTTAGAATAAACCAGATATCTACTCCTCAGTATTTTATTCCCATCATATTGACTTTTAAAACGTTTTGCTTTTTAGATAATTACTGTGTTTGCAATGAAAGTGTGCATTAAACATTATATGCAAATGCACATTGAGATCTGATTGAGGCGTATATGCTTAAGGATTCGATTAATATATGTAAGGAAGCATGTTTTTTGTACTGAATCGTAGTAGATTTCAACATTTGAAAAAAAAATCAACTGTTTGGACAAAGAACTGGAATGAACTAAGTTAAAAAGAAATCTAAAAGATAATCCACACAAACAAACAAATAAAACAAGAACAATAATTATTGTAAATGTTATTTACAATCAACAAATTTGATTCAGCTCAACTGTTATTAGGATTTAAAGTCATATTTTAATAAAAGATTCATCTTCAGTTAAAAGGACGAATATTTCAACCTAAATTTAGATGAAAATATGTTAAAAAGTCAACATTCCCCTTCATCTGAACAATGTTGGTATGCTTACAAAAAGTGAAAAGCAAAGGATGTCATAAAAATGTCCTTTTATACCACACTGGAATTAAAATGTCATTGGAATTAATTGAATGGATTAAATAAATAGGTGTTTTAGTATTCTTTTTATTAAGGGCTAAATCATGGCTGCAGATGTTCAGAAGTACTCTTGGATATCAATTGTTCATAAGGACTGGGGTCTTCATAGACAATAAAAGGTTAAAAAAAAAGTGCAAAAACAGCAAAACAGCTTCTAAGTCAAATTGTTTATGTCAGCTAAGTTTCACCGACTTTTCAGATGCATTTAATTTTAGGCAATGTATAATTTAATGAAAAAGTGTTGTGTCTCACAGAATCGATGAATTCAAATGATTCCGGTTGCTTTCCTCATTGCATGTGTATAAAGTTCAGTGTGGAGAGACTTGATTGGCATGCATTGTATATGCATGTTAAAGTAGAGGAATACAGGGTTGTAGGTTTTAAAACTAATACCTGTAGTTTTTTTCTTTGTTATTGCTTTTTTTACTGTGTCAGTGTGCTCCAGCATTTTTCAAAACAGTTGCTTTTTGGAAACCTCACAAAGGTTTGATGAACAATAGAGGAAACGTAAATTGACATAAAGTGACCCTAGATAATTTGAAAATATTGTAAATTAGTTTTAGGAGTAATGTCAGGCCTCAGTATCTTAATCATGAATGATTCTATTTCTTTGACTTTGTGCAAAGAAATAGCGAAGTTTAAAAAACCTTTTCGAATGCATATGAAGTATCTCAATTAGTCATTCCACTGAGAATCTTCACCAGCATATCTCAAGTAGTGAACATTTTGTTCCAGAGTTTATATGTAGAAGGTTAGAGAAAAAATATGGTTTAACTGTAGTGGATGACATCTATATGGAAGTCAAAACCGCCATAATGCCTCTTAAGTAAGCTTGTTCTGTAATTGGTCCATTTCTGGTAAACAATATTTGTACATCAATAAAAAAAAAGCGGTCGGACATGACACCAGGAGGTGCTTAAGCTGTTAAAGGGGAGGTTTCTTTTCTATTGGCATTACAAGCATGCTCAGTATGACGGATTGCTGCAAACTCAACAATATGGTGCTCATCCAGGAGAAGCAATTCGTGCAAGTCAATGATGCAAAGCATCCAGTGATTCCATTAAACTTACTAAGTTCTTAGAGATGCCATGTGTTGTGATTTAGCGCTATATACATGGTCTGAGTTAATTGAAACGATTTGATGGATGTTGATCCATGCACTTTACTTTTACAGAGTATTCCAATTAAGGGTAGAAAATCACTCATCTTTAACCAGAACCAACAGATAAAGCAAATGTTCTGTCTTAACTTTGATTACATCCAATAGGAGTTGTTATATTTGAAAATAAAAAACAAGAGGTCAAAGATAGCACCAGCCAACCATACCAACAATATATAAAATATATTTCTGCTTTTAAACAGCCATAACATAAAGCAAACATTTCGTTTTGGATCTTGCAGTAGGTTTGTATTGCTAGTAGCAGCGATTATGAGCCCAGCTGTAAGGAGAAACTATAGTTTTTTACAAATCAGGAAAGAAAAAAAGCAAATGTAAATGTGACACTCTTCCCATTTGTAACGTACGACTGAAGAGGCAAATATTTAAGTTTGGTGACATTTCCACTTTAAACTTCACATTTTAAAGACTTCACCATTTAAAAATATTCTTACATTTACATAGAACTTTTATGGCAGATAGAAAGGGAGTTAAATGAACTGTTCATACATAGTCAGATTTTAAGTGTCTGAGAAGCCTATATAATAATTTTTTTATAATGAAAAGAACTTGAATTACAGCAGAAGTTCTCCCCAACTTCACAATTCAACATGGACGCCTCACATGTCAACATTACCAACACTATAGAAAATTTTTCTAGATTTGTAAATTTAAGAAAAGTGCATTGTTCTTATCTCATAATGATAACAATAGCTATCATGACCCTAAACACAATTGTTTAGAGTGAGGTTTTCCAGCCTTAATCTGGAATACATGTCAGTAGGATCCAATGTTATGTGCAGGTCAGATCTCCGACCTTCAAAATAACTGAAGGACAAAAGCGATTGATTTAATTAATTTCTTAACAGAGTTCTTTTTAATCAGATTTCTTCTCATTTGCACCCAATAAAGCTAGCATTCACATAGCTTAGTGGTCTGTTATTTTTAGTGGGGATTTCTTAAGCAGATTTGTTTCAGTTTTCGCGGTATATTACTGTAGATATTGATATTTTTTTATTTATATTTTTGTCTTTCTGACCAACATTTAATATGTTTTTTTGATTTGTTTTTAACATACTGAAGCCTCTTAATGTTGCATATTACCCCCATGCTAATCAAACTAGCAACTTTTAGAAAGTTGAAAAGACTGTGTTTATCTTATTCCAGAGTCACCTTGAGGCCAACTTATTTATTTCTTTATTTATTTATTTATTTATTTTGCTTGTTTATTTATTTGTTTACTTATTTATACCAATCTCAGCAGGAGCAACACCACCAGCTCATTCTCTGTCCAAGCAGTCTTAAATTTTGTGCATTTTTATTTAAGAAGGCCGAGTGTCACTAAAATGAAAAAGTAATTCACTTATTGAATTATCTAAAAACAATCACTGCCCCTACAAATGATGAAAGCATAGCTGAAAAGCTCCATTAGATAGGCTGTCAGGGGCCACATGTGGTCTTGCATTTGAAAACCCTCTGGAGGCCAGCTGTTATCCAGAAAGCACATAAGTTTTTAATTTGTTTTCATATCTTAGCATTGGTAAAGAAAATCTACCAACATGTTTCCCAAAGTCACTGAAGAGCTCCTGGTTTGTGTAAAGAAACTCTGTATACTATAGCAAATTTAAAAGGAGGTGAGGGAATTCAGCCTATTGTTTCCCAGCCTATATATCTGACATATTTTCAACATGAGAGACTCATCATACTAAGCTTCAGAAATATAAAAGCTGTTGATGATGATAAGTTTTCAAGGAAGTACCAGACTTTATGTGCATCCTTCAGAAAAATACCTGCACTTAACTCTTTGGGAGCATTTTATGGATTGTTTCTCCTTTTTTGTGAAAAGTGCCACATCACAAAAAGTATCACTATTTTTGTTGTTTAAAGCATCTATTTGCACTTTAGGAGTATAACAGGATCATATGCACTTAATCAGAGGTGCCACAGAGCAAAAGACCAAGCAAAAATTGTCCCAAAATGCTATTCATAGTTGGATTAACTTGGTTTCACAGCAAACAAGTGACAACAGTTACCTCTGTTGAGAAACATGACTCCTGTTAAGTTCACTAACTTTCAATAAGTCATTTAAAATAAAAAACAAGTTGAAGAATCCATGAGGAAATGGTTTAAACCCAAATGGAAAGTTTTACCTTGAAGTGCTTAATTTGATTTTTATAATGTCCTCATTTAGCAGTCGATGAAATGCACTTTTTATGCTATGCTGCAGTGTTTCAGGATGTCCATGTCATGATCTTCATCGGCTTCGGGTTCCTGATGACATTCCTCAAGAAATACGGGTTCAGCAGTGTGGGTGTCAACCTGTTGCTAGCTGCCTTCGGTCTCCAGTGGGGGCTCCTCATGCAAGGATTGTGGCACATGACGGATGGCAAGATTAAAATGAACATCTTCGGGTATGTTTTTAAAATTGCTGAAACACATGCAATCAAAAACACAAAAATTTGCTTTTTTAAAAGCTTTTAGCTTTTTAATATTGATGCCTAAATAAGTATTATACCCATTAACCGGTCACCCATTCTGTCACATTAACAGCATAAGCTTTAGTTATTTCATTGGGATTTTATGTAAAGGATGAGTTATGAGATTGAAATCTATTTTTTACAAATAAATAGTTAAAACAACATCTTGACCAGTGTTCAGGCTTTCACTGAAAATGAAAAAGAAAATGTTTGGAAAACCTTCCATGTAAGATGGATCAATGCAACCCTTTAAAGACAAAGTCCTTCCTTCCTTCCTTCCTTCCTTCCTTCCTTCCTTCCTTCCTTCCTTCCTTCCTTCCTTCCTTCCTTCCTTCCTCTTCGTACTCATCCAATACAGTGTGCTGGTCTACCACATAAGATCCCTGCAAGACAGTCAAATGAGAAAAATAAAAAGAATAAATCAGGAATAAAATTATCTTAGTTCTGTTTATTATTTTATCAAGATATTATCTCCATTTTTCTGCAGTATGATCAATGCAGATTTCAGCACAGCTACAGTCCTGATTTCCTTCGGTGCCGTTCTGGGTAAAACCAGCCCTGTGCAGCTCCTCATCATGACCATCCTGGAGATCACAATCTTCTCCATCAATGAGCATCTGGTGGCTAACATTCTGGGGGTGAGATTATAATAGCACAAACCAATGATCACAAAGCTAATCCTGGCATTTTACCTAAAAAACATTGTAAAACATCTAATTTTTACAGGCTAATGATGTTGGAGCGTCAATGATCATCCATGCTTTTGGTGCTTACTTTGGCTTGGCAGTAGCTCGCGTTCTTTATCGACCTGGTTTGAGTAACGGACATGAGAACGATGGATCTGTTTATCACTCTGATATGTTTGCAATGATTGGTAAGAAAAATGAACACCACAAAAAAATAACTGTACGCATGACAAAGATGCACCATACGAAACTTTAGATTTTTCTTAAACAGTGAAGCTCCAACTGAAAACAATGAAATAAACATGGTGGTGTTTGTAGTGACACGGTATAAATAGCTATTTTAAGAGTTTTGTATTTGTTTGTAAAGATTTTTACAATGCATTTTCCTAACTAAATCCAACCTGTTTTAAACTGTCTAATTACAATACATTTAATAATATGAAGATGAATTCCTCAAGTTAGGACACATTTTCCCTCAATACACACAGGCAACACCTGTTAATGATCCATTTAGGCAGCCAATATTCTGCAGTATGTTTAAACCATTGCTCAGTTTTCTACACCTATACCATGTCTCCCACCAAGTGGACACAAAAAAGTAGTGCAGTCTGTGACTTACAGGCTATGAAATCCAATGTTTATTTATTTATGATTCGTATCATCCAAGCTAAACTTACTAATTGTGCAGGAACCGTGTTCTTGTGGATGTTCTGGCCCAGCTTCAACTCAGCCATCGCTGAACGGGGTTTCCCTCAGCTCACTGCAGTGATCAACACCTATGTCTCTCTGGCTGCCTGTGTGCTTTCTGCCTATGCTTTCTCCAGCTTGGTGGAGCACAAAGGAAAACTGGACATGGTAAGGTTGTACACTCATCTAAAGTAGATAACTAAACTACATTTTAAACGTATACTAATTACATTTACATCAACATAGGTACACATTCAGAATGCCACTCTGGCTGGAGGTGTTGCAGTGGGAACTTGTGCCGACATGCAGATCCAGCCTTTTGGTGCCATGCTGATTGGCTTTGTTGCTGGCATCATTTCCACCCTGGGCTTCAAATACCTCTCGGTGAGTTGAAAGCGAGCAAGTTGGTGTAAAAAAAATAGCTCCTGTAAATTACAGCTAGATCAGAAAGAAATCATTTACTTGGAAGAACCTGTTTTTTTGTCACATGTACCTAGACCAAATATGTGACCTGAAAGAGACAATATTTCAAAAGTCTAGCAGCTCTTTCAGGAAAACTCAGAACTTAACCTTCCTAGCAATATCATTCAGTTCATGTTGCGTACTACAAGATGTTCCCTCCCAGTGGGAAATGCCTAGAAAGCAGGAGCTGTTCTTAAGAGAACTCCTTCTGATACAGAAAAGCATTACTTTTTATCCAAACTCCTGCTTCAAGAAAAATTTTCCTCTCCAAGGCTGAAAGTCTTCCTATGGAGGAGCCTCATTCCATCAGCTTCTATTTCATTCTATAAAGAAACTTCACTTTATGACTAAACTCTGTCTTTATTAAAACGGTCTATATCAACATCCTCATTGTCCCAAAAGAGGCCCACTTTTATCAATCTCCCACGCCATTCACTCGTGAACCAGAACCTTTACTGAGGTTCCTATGCTAAAGCTTATATCATGACAGAACCGCATTGACTGTAAAGGTGAGAACCTAACCAGTACAACTTATTTTAAACTAAACTTGGTGCAAATAATATAAATAAACCTCTTGCCTGGGTTATAAAAGTCCAAGCAAAATTTGATAGTATGAGAAATGCTTCTCATCCTTCTAGCATTGCATTTAAAATAATAGCCCTGATCCCCCAATACATCCACATTAAACTTTTGACACCTACGCTGCCTTTGGGTTTTTCTCTTTTAATATGTAAAGGAAAGACAGCAAAAAAAAACATTACGAAAGCTTTATGCAAAGTTATTCAACATGTTTTAGGAACCACACAGATCATCCTTGTCAAAATCCTAGGGGTTTTGGTACTAAAACCATCTTGATAGGATAGTGAAAAAATATTTTCTAAAAGAGTTCATTTTTCCATTTTGTTTTACATGTAAAAGTCCAATAATAAATAGTTTTGGGTTGTTTGTCAGCAATGAAAGACTTTCCAGCCCCATAGGATGAATTTATATAGTTAGTAGGGATTAATAATGGTAAACATACTTATCAGAGGATTACTTTGAAAGAAAATTGCTGCTTTTTAAACAATGAATATTTTGTGTTTTTTTTCTTCCTCTACAGCCAGTCTTGGCATCCAACCTGGGTATCCAGGACACCTGCGGTGTCCACAACCTGCACGGCATGCCTGGCATCCTTGGAGGATTGGCTGGCATTGTTGCTGTGGCTTTGGGAAAAGCGGAAACGGGGTAAATGCTCCATTCATGGTAACTAAAACAAAGGTACAACAGAATTGTTGCTTTGAAATAATGTTATTGTTCCTTTAAATGTCAGCTCTGCAGCCATGCAAGCTGCTGCCCTGGCTTCTTCCCTCGGGTTCGCTCTGATAGGAGGTGCTATAACTGGTGAGTGGGGATGAAAATGGAAACAGTGAAACTGCAAAAACTGACTTAACAAACATTTTATTGTTGTCCTCCAGGGATGATAATGAAGCTGCCATTCTGGGGACAGCCTCCAGACCAGAACTGCTTTGATGACTCTCTTTACTGGGAGGTATGGATTCCCATTTCTCTTTCTGAGAAATGCCTTTTGCTTTGCATTCAACCTCTGTTTGCATTATCCATTCATCATATTTTGCTATGATGCTGATTTGCTGCTTTTACAGGTTCCTAATGAAGAGGAGGAGAACGAAGGAAGTCTGGCTGCTGCAGAAAACTCAAAGAACAAAGCAGAAGCTTGAATAGTGGCATATTTTCTCTTCTAATGGAAAAAGCAGACATGGAGATGCTGTAGTTTCCAGACAAATTAGTATAGAAAAAAAATAAAAATTAGCACTGCTTTGTTATGGTTTTTACATGTTTTCTGCACAATGGCTCTTAGTTATGAAATGATTTTCAGAAAATTATACTTGGCAGACTAAGTAACAAGCAAATATTTTTATTTTACACTGAAGATTTTTTAAAGAAAGGTTTCATAACTATCCTAGCATTCAAAGCAACTTAATTTCTTCACGGCTAAAATATAGATCTTATAAGCTTTCTTATTGTAATGTTTTTATTCTAAGGAAAATACATGTATTTTTCTTGCCAAATGCATGTCTGCTTAAACACCAGAGGCTTTGATGTGCTGCTTCACACAGTCCAGTCCTTTTATGGAGTCAGAGTCTGACAGTTCAGCTCTGACACAAGCTTGGACGGTCGCTTCATTTTTTTATGACTAATAAACCTTTATACATCTTATCTTGTACATTTTAGCAAAAAAAAAATCTATGTTACAGATTAAACTGGGTTTTATTTTTTCTGTTAGAGTAAAACTATTATTTTTATATGTACATACAGTTTGTTTTTTTATGGATTGACACGGTCGGTTTTTATCAAAGCTAACAATGGCAGCCGGTACTCTAGTCGTTTTTACTGCAAATTATTACTCCTTCCAAGGCTTTATTTTCAGCTTATATTTTACTTTGTTCCTGTTTTCACTGTCAGTTGGTTACTGTAAGATTCTTTTGGAATATGAGTCTTTAAAACAAACTAAAAAAGCAAATTCCTCACATTTTACCAACAGTATAAAAGCTTCTCTTGTTTAAGCAGCAGGGCTCTATAGTGCTTTTAATTTGTATCTGCTTAGAAATGCTATACTGATGCCTTGATGAAACTGACTACAAATAGGAATTATCAAATATATAGCTTGTTTATAATCTGTCATGCATTATGTCTTATGACATATATTTCAAGACATTTTGCTTCTAGTTTCTATGCATTGGGCATTTGCTCCTATATGTACAATATGCTGATAGACATATTAAAAAGTTTTTTTGTACAATACTGCTGCTGATGTGCTGGTTTCTTTCATACCCATAGGCATTAATACATAGATGCCTCATTGGACGCTGCTGGCAGTGAGGTCGACGTGCCTAGAGGGCAGCCATCTTGAGTCAGACCATAGTTCAGACCACTGATGTCAGAATGAATAGAAGGCGCCTCAGATCTAATTTTAATAACATGGAAGATGAGTCAAAGATAATATCACAATAATTTATATCCATATCCTATATGTGTCACAACCCCTTGAAAGACCAAAACAAATTTTATAATGACCTTTCAGTTAGATTACACATATTTATTTAGACTAAAAACAATTTAAACTGAAGTCAAAATAGATTAAATATATACATAATTATATTTTGTGCAGTTAATTAGTAATATGATAAACACAACATTTTATGTTAATATATTATAATATTATATGATATAAATATTATATATTTATATAGTATATTATTATTATTCAGTATTTTTAAGTATTGTACTGTGATAAGTAATATGATATGTATAGGCAATGTAGTTGTAATGTGGTTTACAAGGAGACTAAGTTTATTTTTTAGCATTTTTATTAGTTTAATGTGAATTTTTATGTATTTTTTTTTTCATTGTGAAAACTTTTTGTCAAATCGTAGTGAATGGTAAATTTACCTTGTCTCTAGCTCACAGTTTTTTTCCTTATAAGTGTCTAAACCTCTTCCAAAACTCTTTTTCAAACCATGTTTGTTATTATTATTATTATTATTATTATTATTATTATTGATGTGTGCCACATATTTCAAATCCTATGTATTCTTATTTAGTTTAGTTTGTTATTAGTTTTTTTTATTTATATTTTAGGTTACTTTATGTATATATATTTTTTGTTTCTATATGTAAAATGGCCAAACTGCTTCATGGACAAGCACTAGTTTTACCAAAAACAAACAAGGTAGGCGTACTGACAGAAGACCAAGCAAAGGAAATGATGATGGTTAGAACTGAAAATAAAAGAACAATTTCAAGTAAATTGACAATTAATGTTATATATAGGATATATAGGATAAAATAGTTATTTATTTGATGATGCCTTTACAGTAGCTTTAAAAACTGTACTTTTAAGTTTCTCATAAACCTTATATATTGATGTATTTATTATAATGAAATCTCGCAGTGTCAGTATCCTATGTTGTTTCATTTCATATTTTCAACATATCTGGAGTGAATGGAAACTGTTGCATAGTCGTTGTTTTTTTTTAAAACAACAAATTTACAAAGTTTGATAAGAGATGATGATGAAAATATAAGCAAAAAAAAAAAAAACAAGTTATCAAATAAGTGGAATCCATGATTAGTACAGCAGTAATTGATTTGCTGATGAAGGCTACTACTATAACGTGAAATGATGTATAAATGTGTCTCCTTATGAATGATAAAAATCCAATTTAAAAAAAATCCTAATCTCTTGCACATAATCTTAATTTGAATAGACTAGAAAAGAATGTTTGGTGAATTGGTTTTCTTAATAAGATTCACATGGGGTATGCACATTAAGAAAATTATTGATAAATGTAGGAAGGTATTAAATATAATGAGGTGTTAAGTTGGAACAGAGTGGGGAGCTGATAGAAAAGCCTTAAAAGCCATTTATACTGTAGTTAGTATTGGACTATGGCTGTATCGTTTATAACTCAGCAGCAGATACAAACCTCCAAAAGTTAAATATTATTCACATCAGACTTTAAGAATATGTACTGGCGCTTTTAAAACATCTTCAACAGCAGCATTACAGGTTGAAATGGGAGAAATGCCTCCCAAATTTAGAAGAGATCAATTATCTTTAAACTACTGGTCAAATTTACAGGGACAAAGGAATGATCATCCAACATTAGAGGTGCTTAAATCTGGATGGGAAAAAGAAAAGAAAAAAAATTAAAGAGCTTTGGATCGGTAATAAACACTAGAGTTAATGAACTTCATTTAAATCGGTTAAAAATATGTCATACGGTTCCATTAACTGCTATACCACCTTGGATACTTCCTGATGCTGAAGTTGATCTTTTATAATTAGAAAAGAAGAACAAGAATACATTTCAAATTTTAAATTAATAGACAGTACCAGAACACTTAAATAAATATAACTGTATACAAATATATACAGATGCATCAAAAAAATACGGCTAATAGGGTAGGGATAGCATTTATTATACCACAGTTTTCAAATTAGTAGTAGCCTACAGGAGAAATGCTTGCTTTGCTTTTAGCAGTTTAATGGATGGAATAGGTAAGACCATTAAAATCTATCATTTGTTCAGATTCTAGTTCATCATTAGTCAGTTTGCAAAATAAGACAGTAGGCCAGATATAGTAACTGAAATACAACAAACACTTTACAGAATAAATATGATGGGACAAGTAGTACTTTTTGTTTGGGTTCCGGCACATAACGAGATTGAGGGAAATTAAATGGCAGACAGGATGGCTAAGGAGAGCACAAATAAGGTTAGAATAGATATTGTTAGTTTTAGTATAACAGAAATAAAGGGTATAATTAAACAAAAAGGAAACTCAGTAATATGAAAATGAAACTTGACATCATTGATTTGCTGCAAAAAGAATAATGAAGCAGAGGATATCAGGTTATATTTAAAATTTTTGAAACAGATTAAATTGTATAAAAGGATATAGCTTTTTTGTTTGTTTGCTTTTTGCCGGCGATCACACTTCTTACCAGCTGATAGCGGTAATGCTCACCTAACGTTTTTGACAACCGCTATAAAATTTTCAACAAGAAGAAGATTATCTTCATTCATTCGCCACTAGGGGCACTGTGCCACTTTCCAGTGTCGCCTGTTGTTTTGAATTCAGTCATTCGCGGTGCATCATGGGATACAAAATGTGTACAAAGATGGCTAACAACTGCTAATTCGCCCGTAATAACTGTAATTGTATATCTATTTGACATTTTTTCGCATTAGTTGTGGTGTCGTTAAATGTATGACGTGTTAACTGTAGTAAGTCCTCATTATGGTGAGTACAGGAACTGTTTTTTAACCCGCTCGGCTTTAGTTTTAGCTTTAGCTTAATGTAGCTCTGCTGCAGCAAGTACGATTGAATGTGCATTAAACGAATTAACTCTCTTAATTTCTATCTTTTGGTCACAAAAAAAACTCTAAGGGCACAAAATAAAACTACCTTGTGTCATCAGTTAAGATGTTTTATTATGTTATAAATGTGTAGATTTTAATAGGATGTTGTTTCCTGATAAATCTAAGTTTCAGCCATACGTCAACAGTAAATGTTTTCCTTGTGTTTGTAGTCAACCAGAACGGAGCGCAGGGTGTCCAGCTCTTCGTCCAGGACAGATGAAAGGACGAGATCAAGGAGCAGAGGTAGGTTTTATTTCCATCTTACTACCGGGGGTTTAAATTGTGCACTAATATTAATGGAAGAGGAAGTAAAGAAAGAAGTTGGACATTGGAGATGTTTAAGCTGCACATTTATCAAATATTTGATTAATCCTATCCAATAATCAATTAGTTTTTCTATCCAACTGTTCATATATCTGTTTTTTTAATCAGCCATCCATTGATCTGTCTTCATCCATTCATGTCTGTCAAACAGCTCTCCATCTGTTTATCCATCCAGCCTCCTCTTCATCTATTGATTCATGCGTTACAATATCTGTAACCCGACATCTGAATGTTTGTATTTATTCATTTTTAGTCCATGATAGATGATTAAAAACAGGAAACTTGAGTCTGAAAAATGTTGAGGAACATGTGATTGATAGCTGGTGGGAAAAAAGGTAATATTTGCAAAATATTAGTGAGTATTGCTTTGATGCAAAAAGAAATGAGGAGCAGAGTAGAGGATATAAATTTCATTGGCAGTTAATGAAACAGGTGGCAATTAAAATTGATAAGAAAGAGAGGAAGAGTTTAACCTGTTCCAAGTTGGGATTGATGCATTGGACAAAGGATTTTGAACAATGAGCTGCATGGAGAAGGGAAGAGGATTTCACAAAGATCATTTATGAATTCCACAAAGGAAGATATGCAGAGCTTTGATGTGAGGGATGGATGAGGTGAAATAAAAGAAGATTTCTCGCCTTTAGAGGGAGCGGCAAAAAGATAATTGTAAGTAACATATAAGCTGTTTAGGTGGCGCATGATTTAAATATGATTGATTCCAATTCTCATTCTGATTCTTCATGCTGATCCTGATTCCTTTTGGTTCTCTGCTACAATTCTTCAAGGAGGAGGGATTATCAATTTTTATATGTTATAATTGAGTTGGCCAAGCAGAGCTCTGTCTGGCTGAAATAGCCTGAACTTCTCTATGAATCTTAATTCCTAAGTTTTGTTATACTACCCCCTCACCAGTGTTGCAGGAAGCTGACTGGTCATTTTTTATTTGATTTTAGGATTTCAAATTCTGCAACATAAACAGATGGTCTCATTGATTCTTCTTTACTGATATTTTACTGCTTCTATTTCTGGTCGGCGGACTGAGCATCAAAACAAGTAATCGAAAATAAAACATTGAAATGATTGTGGTTGAATGGAAAGGTTGGAACTGGTTTAGATCAATTTTTGGTGCCCTACCCTACTTAGGTTTTCATGCAATGTGTAGTGCAAAGTTAAGCATTTTGTTAAAAAAAAATGCATACATCAAGACTTAACTATCACTACTATAATTTTATTCTGCTGGTTATTGCTGATTTCCACTAATTATTTGTAATTTCCAAGGTCAGAAGATTCACTTGGAGATTGAGAAATTTAATCTGATTGTCTGTTATCTTTTTGTTGCTGATTTCCCTTTTCTTTTTTTTTTCTGTATGTTTTTTTCATTAGGGCGTGAAAAAAGGAAGCGAAAACGAAGCCGTAGCAGATCGTCTTCCTCATCATCTAGTTCATCATCTTCTCCCTCGTCTTCCTCCTCTTCGTCTTCCAGCTCTTCTGGTTCATCACATTCATCAAGTAGCAGCAGAAGTAGCTCTAGCAGCAGCAGTGGTGAGTTTGCACAAATATATCCAGCCTTTAATGTTTGTTTGTTTTTTTGTTTTTTTATAATGATTATTTTAGAGTAAAGGTAAAACAAAATGGGGATAGAAGAATAATAAAATTCTCTTTTACATCAATTGCAAACCAATGCATACCCACAAGGATAATGGAACGGTCATCTAGTTGTCGTCTGCAGTTGGAAAGAATCCACCATTTTCAAACCCTCTATCAGATTAATAACTTATCGACATGTTTTTGTCGTTAAAAATTATATGAAATTGCGGTGTGTGATGATGGATCATCGTTAGCAATGCATGGACACAAAAGTATAATCGTATCCTTTGCAGATAACAATGCAGATGATCTGGTTTCAGATCAGTTTTTCTGCTTTCTGAATGTTTGAAACTCAGTAAACTGTCTGTATTCTGTTACATTCTTTTTGTATGCCATTTTATATTTTCATCAAAACAATATTTGTCTCAATGCTTTGTTTTCTTGATGTTTTTTTAGACTCCCGCGGTAAATCCAGGAAGCAGTCCAAGAGAAGAAAAAAGGAGAAGCATAAAAAAGTAATACAGACCTCATTTGAAAATAATTTGTTCTCTGTTTCAAAAAATACACCTTCAACTTATATTTCTTGTGTTTGGCAACAGAAAGGGAAGAAGGAGAAGAAACAAAAGCGTAAAAAAGACAAGAAAGCAAAAGGAGGGGAAGACAAATCAGGACCTGTCCAGATCTCTAAGGTAAACAAACATTCTAGTGCTCAATATGTTTTTCGTTTAGCAGTTTCTTTACACTCCAAGTCCAATAAAAAAGGGATTCTGACAAGAGTTTAGAGAATATTTAAAAAAGTTTGCATTGTATTAGGCTTTTTGCACTTCTGTAGCTTGTCAGTGAAGCATTTCTAAAATTTTATAGTGATTATCGAACGTAAGGAGAAAACTCTTTGGACAAGATCTATGCCATAAATAGGAGGTGTGAAATGTAAAAGGAAATCTTTTGAAGTGCAAGAAACAAGAGGAACTATATTAAACCTTTTGAAATAGAGGTAAAAGTGAATAATTGTTTTGTTGTGAAATGATTTTTAGTCGAATGTTAGCCTCATGAATCATAATCAAAGAGTTTTATCAAGTACCTGAAGTAGGGCAGGACGATATTTCAATAACAATATGTAATGATCGATAGACGTGTGGTGCAATAGAAAAAAAGAGGGTCGATAAAAGTTTGATATAGAAACACAATTTTCCTTCCTTTTTATTGTAGGTTGATGCTAGAATTACTACTTCCCTCTAACCAATCCCAATTGTCGACTCAGGCACGCCATCACAATGCACCGCTTTAGATAACCACAACACAGAGTATGTGACGATGTCACAGCAGGAGAAGCGATTTGTAAAATTTGTGGGGAACCGGTAAAAGTCTGGTCTAGGAACACAACCAACTTGTTTTATCATCTAAGCCACTCACTCCTAAATGAGAAGGAGCTGTGTCGGCCCCGGCGCAGTTCCACATCGTCAGAGGAACCTTCAGGAAAATTCTGCCCAAACAAAGCAGGCAAAGCAAGCTAAACTAGGCTTCCTTCTTTGTGATAAATGTGACAAAGTTTACAAGCGGTATAAGGACATCACTCATGCAGTAACATGCTTCCTAACGATGGATATGCTGCCGTTGTCTTCAGTTTAAAAAACCTGCCTTCAAACAGCTGCTCTCCACTTTTGATATGCAATACAAAGTTCTGGGCTGCAAGTTTCTGTCTAAATCAGCACTCCCTAATTTGTACAATGAGGAAAGGGAATCAGTGCAAAATGAGCTGCAATCTGCAAAAAAAAGGTGTGAAGTGGCACTCCAGAACCAGCAGTCATCTCAAGATTTGTTTGGTTCCATGATTTGTAAAACATACAGACAATAAATTGGTAATTATTTCCTTTTCAGATGTTTTGAATGTGAAAATGGTAGAAACTGTTTAAAAGTTAAGTTTGAAAAAGTGTGGAATTATAAGATGGAAATAAAAGTAGGAAATCCGCTCAGAAATATTTTATATTTCTATGTAAAAAAGGAAAATGTAAATTCCCTTTCATACTTTTTTAAAATAAATATATCCACCCCTTTTTTTATGATCAATTCATGTTACAGTTTAAAAGCCAATGAAATTCCTTGTATTTCTGACAAAGATTGATTCAGACTTTGAAAAGGTGAAAATTATCCACGTTTAGGTCTTAGGAACTGTATGTTGGTTTCAATATGAATTTAGGTCACAATGTTTCTTGTCTCCTCATTTTCTTTCAGTATTTAAAAGAAAAGGAAAAGGGCAAGTACAGCATGATATCAGGAAAGAAGATAAAAATGAAGGTGAAGAAGTCAAAAAAAGACAAACAGGTATCCCATTTTCCCATTTTAAGTAAGCAAACCTTTTAAAGTTTTTTTTTTTTGTTTGTTTTTTTTCACTGATTGCTTTCCTTTGTTTACATTTTTCATAACAGAGGGATAAAAACCGAGCAGAATTGCTGGAGTTCCTAAACTCTACCCTGTGAAGCCTCCTTGGCCCCTCTTCCTCTTGTTGGTCACTGATGGCAGAACTCAGGAAATAGCTGCTCCTGCCTCCCAGCAGGTGGACAAAAGAAGTAGGAGGCGACAAACAAGAATGACTGTTTTCCACCACATGGCGGCAGCAGCGAGCTGGATTCAAACAGGGACTGGAGGCTCAAACACATTCAGCTCAATAACTACATTTTCACCTTGTTTCTGTGCAGGTGGTCACCTTGAGGTCCTAGTAAGAAGTGTTGTTATGTAGAGAGTTTTGAATGTGATCAGATGTAAACTAAATCTCATAAACTATGATTTAGGTGGAAACACATTTTAAAGGTGTAATCTACCTATTCAGCCAGTTTGAACCGAACATAAACAAGTCTGTGTCATTGAAATGTCAGCTTCATGTGTATATATCTTTTCAGGGTCTTGACGTCATGTTCTGTCTAAAAAAAGACAAAACAATCTATAAATTTATATTTTTAAGATGATGACCAACCGCTTATGTGTTTAAGATGGCCCACATGTTCAGTTTTAGAATGAATTTAAGACCCAAAGTGTTTTCAGTTCTAAAACAGACAATTTATTTGTGTACTTTTTCTTTTTACTATGAGGATTGAGCTGTGTAAGTTTCCAGCTATGTATGACTCATTAATGGTAATTTTTCCGAGTATTTGTATTTTAGAATGGAAAAAAAAAATTTCATTCATTTATTTGTATGAAACCAGTTTGAATCCATGTTTGTATGATGGTGCATTCAGATCCATTTGTAAACAGTGTGACAAACAGACTGCAAATAAACCGCTGGAGAAATTTCATCTTCAATCGCTTCCTTTTTTTCTTCCTTTTAAACCTTTCTGGAAATAAAAAAAAGTGCAAGAAGCAAAGCTTTTAGTTTTCTAACCTTGGATGATGCATTTCACCGTTAAGTCATTGTGCTGTTGACACATGGAGGATGACTCACTGTTTGAATTATATAGAAAAGAAAACATGTCCCTCCTACAGAAAAATGTTGCACTTTACAGCCATTTCATGCGTTCACACATTCAGCTTTGACCTAGCGTGCACCGTCTCTATCAAACACAGCTTTAAGATTGCTTTGTCATTTTTAAATAATACTATTAGGCTGTAGTACAAATGGCCCTTAATGCTTCAATGCATTATATCTAAAACACAAGAGACATGATTGCAAAATATAAATCTCAGGCAACATATTTACTGCTTCAAGTACTGAAAACTTATTGGGTACATTTAGAAAAGTAGAAATCTTATGTTGGCCTTGAACATATTAGACATCAAGTATCGGATATTGGTCCAACTTAAATGTCCAAGTGTCACATCTGACATTTAAAAGCACCACATTAGACAACTCTACTGCTGCTTCCCTTGTATCTAAAGTCGGGCATGCTCCACACCCTCTGGGACCGCTCCTCCTTCTGCATCCCCTTCTCCACGTCCTCGGACACGGTTTTCAGGTCGCTCATCCCCGTCCCATTGGCCATTGCAGTGGTGAGACCAGTTGTGCTTCCGAAAGGGTTGATCTTGATCCGTGACCTGAAGTTCATGCTCATGGCTCGCTTGTTGTTCCACTGCCGGGCCAGCCGCTGTGCCTCCTGCTCCTCCTTCAGCTGATCCAGAGCCTCCAGGAGGACGGCTCTGAAGTGACCAGACACCTCTTGGACCTCTGGCTCATTGGCCTGTATGACATCTCTAAACCTGATAAATGAAAATCAGAGTTACTTATCTCTCTTTATTCAGGGTGATCAGATTTTTCTCTGACTTGAATAAAAATGGAAAGTCATTATCTCACAATGGAGAAATTCATTTCTGCATCTTAACCCATCGCCATGGGGAGCAGTGGGCTGCCATTGCACGTTGCCAGGGGGAGCAATCAGGGTTTAAGGGTTTTGCTCACAAACCCAGAGTGCAGGCTGTGGGGATCAAACCAGGTACTTGCATCCTTCTCAGAGCACAAGCAAACTGTTCTAACCACTACACTGGAAAAAAATACAAATCTAGATAAGTAATTTTTTCCTAAAATAAATGCATTTGCTCTTGAATTGAGGTGATAAAAGAGACATTTTGCCAATGGAAAAAGACAATTTAGATTTGAAATAAGAAAGCACAATTGCATCGACTTATTTCCAGTGTATATTATCTAATTATCTTGTTTTAAGAGTAAAAATATTCATTCCATTCACAAATAATCTCATTTACCTACTGAAATAAGGGTAAATACACTTAGTTTAAGGATTTTTTTTTTTTACTTATTTCTAGATCGTTTTTCCAGTGCAGTCCAACACTTCCCTTCAACTATAAATCCTTTATTGCTTTCCTTCCACTTTAATATTTTAAAACATTTTGTGCTTGTCTGAGGTAGAATCTAAATAAAGAACAACAAGGTATGACTTTAAATAATCAGGAAATTTAAAAAAAAAGTTGAAGTAGCAGCCTGATAATATTATTTCAATGAACTACTTTCTACTTTCAAATATTGATTTATTGAAATTTTGTATTTTCAGTGTAAATTCATATTGTTATCCTCACCCGTTTAAAAAGATACGTTGCATATCTGCTAACTGCTATGATGGTAGCTCCAAAAATGATAAGGACAAAAAGAGTAACATTACTAATCTATAAGATCCATCTGTCTCCTCCCACGAGTTGTTTATCCTCCCGCCAGCTGGACGACAATCCCACAAATTAACAAATGTGCAACAAAATCCTTCCTCAAGCAACAAAGCTGCAACTTCCCAATGAAATCCACCTGACAACATTTAAGAATATACACAAAAATAATGAAGATTGTTTTTTTTTTAAATCAGTCTTTAAAGCAACTTCTAGAGAGCAAAATGTTAAAGATGTAACACATGTTACATTATAAACAAATATAAAAGCATGCTAAGACACAACTGACACAGGATGTTTTAGTTTTTCCAACATCCAGAGGCAGCTGTTGGTTGTACAAAAGTAAAATTAGATGCTTAAAGAGAACACAACAAAAAAAAGAGCAATCCAAGTATAATCTGAAGAGCTGATTGAGAAGATTAACTTTTACTCAAAATGTGCTGATAAAATGTCACACTCAAAAGTGCGGTTTTCTCCAAGCAGAATTTTATGAAATGATTTTCTTGTTTCTTTAAAACTAGAATCAGGTGCAGAAATTTGGATTTATTAGCAAAGTTTTACCTACAGTATGAACACGGACCTAAAATCATACACACTAGGTTGGATAAAGACATAGTTAATGAAGGGGGGGGCAGACACGGGAGCTGGCTTAATCCTGGTTGGATGTTTGACTCCTCTGCAGGGGTGGAGCTAGATGGGGGGCAAGGGGTCGCCATGGCCACCCTTAGCCAATAATTGGCCACCCCTACCATTTTCCCCCTCTAATACAAATGGTGGCAGCAGTAATACTCTGAAGGGGAATGTTCAAACTTGTTAAACATTTTGTTTGTCATATATTAACAACTACTTGACAACGGAAACACTCTGGTTAATTATGCACATCAATATACAAACATTAAAGATGATAGATACAGAATTCATGCTCTTTTCAGAACTAAACTTTGAATTATTTGGAGTAAAGATAAAATGATGTGCCTCTGCAAGTCATCTAGGCGTCTTCAGTGAAATCATAGGTAAATAACTACTTTTATAATAACATTAAATTAATAAAATGTGGATATTAGTAGATTTAAATATAATTTTTTTGCAGAATGATTATTGATAAAAGTAGGTAATAACAATTGAAATATGTTTGCCCCAGAACTCAAACCTGAAAGAATTTTATCCACTATACCTTTTATTTACACAGCATAGATGTTTAAATATATGGATCTATTTGTTAGCAAAGGCTGCAGGAAAATATAGTTTGTCTTTATTTAGAAAATATGGATGTTGAGATTGTTCCTGTTGGAACAGTGTAGATTGACCCTAAGGTTCTCGACCTTCGAAGTCCTTCATTTGCAGTGGGGTGTAGATTGGGTTTATAGATAAAGTTCAATATTGTCCTACACTATACTATCTAAGTTCAGGTTTGACATAATCATTGTCCTATTCAGACATCCATTTGAGTCCACATGGTAACTATCTGACCCAAACCTTTGTCCTCAGAGGAGGAAATTAGTTGCTGTTCAGGAAACACCCAGATGCAAGGCTAATAGGCATAAAAGAGACCCCTGGTTGAAAAGCCGTGTAATTCCCGGATAACAGATTTTAACTCAGACATGACAATGACTGAACAATTTGACCACAGTGACAGACCAAAATGTTTTGGGAAGTCAATATGAGGCTGTTGAAGCAAAGAACTCTGTATGTAAAACATGGAGGAAGAAGCATCATACTGATGGTTTGTTTTACTGTCAGTGACTGTTGCTTTGCACGGGTTAAATAGGCTGTTGAAGAATTTTCAGACGTTAATGAAAACAGCTAAATGAATAAAAGCTGAATAAAGTTGGGTGTTTCATGGCTTGAATGAAGCTGCACAACATTTAGCTTCTGGATTGTGATCATTTTATTATTTATATATATTATTTATTTTAGTTATAAAATATAAATTCTTGATGGGAAATTAACTACTAGTTTTGAGAGGTGGTCAAAAATATGCTATGGGTTGTGGATTGTTTGAAAAGCAGAGGTGACAAAAGCATTCATGTTTATTACACAAGTAGAAGTATAAATCCTTTTGTTTAAAAACACTTTTGTAGAAATTAGAGTATCCACTTAAGCTTTTTACTCTAGTAAAAGTGTAAAAGTACTATTTTAAAAACTACTTAAAGTAAAAAAAAGTAAAGGTAATGCAGCACAAAACGATAAGGACAGATGCTTTATTGCACTACCCTATTGAAGAAAAATGTTTCCACAATTCTGGATGAAAATTTTCTTATACTTCTCTTAGTTTTATAACTAATGGCAACAAAATTTAACTTTGCATTAGAGTCCTGCAACAGGTCGGGTACCCGCGGGTCCCCGACAGATCACCCGCTAAAATGCTCTTTTGTGGGTGAAAAATACATAAATAAAAATAAACGGGTACGCGGGGTCGGGCGGATATTTTTTTAGTGCGGGCGGGTAGTTGGTGATTTTTTTTTTTATGCGTGTGTGTTGTTATGGACATTAGAAATGTTATATTAATCAGGCACTGAGGTCACCCTTGTTGTAGCCTAAAGCCCTGCCGGCAGTGTGGGCTTCCCTCCAAAAGGCCACAGTCAGTGCATACACGTCTGCTGCAGTGTTAATGGCGCTATACTATAGCCTATTACTTGATGTGTTAACGGGTCGGGTTACGGGTTAAATATCAACGGGTTGAATTGAAGATATCTGCAGGTGACGGGTCGGGTTTGGTAGTCATCCTAACGGGTTCGGGCGGGTGCGGGTTGGTAAAACTCGACCCGTGCAGGATTCTACTTTGCATCATCTTGAAAAACTATTTATTTTGTTATGTGGTGGACAAAAGGTTGGTGCAGCACCGAGTCCAACAACACAGAAATGAATTCTCTGGATGAAACAAATAATTTGATGGTTATTATTTTTAAATACCAACAGGCCATAATGACAATTAACTTAAATGAAACAAAACTAACAAGTCATTTTTAAACTGTAAGGAGTACTGTAGGATATAGAGGTAATTGCAAAAAAATAAATATGTAAGGAGTTGAAGTAAAATAAAATAACTCCAAAAATAATTACTCCAGTAGAGTATAGATAGCAAAAAATTCTACTTAAAGGTATAGTGGGGGATTTTGTTTTTCCGGGTGGATCATCTAAATAAGTGGTCCTCCCCATTGTCAATCATTCTGGTGATATGTTTATGTAAGGCCCTCCTACTCGCTCGTCCCCATTTTCACTTACCGATGCTGAGTCTGACATAGTAGAAAAATGTCTTCTTTTGGAAAGTAAGCTTGTATGAGCAATGCAAAGAGCAACTTTTAAAAACTTTTTAAAAGAGTGTGGAGGAGAAAAATGGGCTTGTACACACTCTCACACACGCTTTTGGGAGTGGGTACAGGGTTGTGCATGTGCATTTGTTTTTTTTAAAGTGGAGAGGGAGGGTTTTTTCAAAAATTCCTCAAAATCCTCCAATAATTTAAGTAAGGTAACAAGGTATTTATACTTTTTTACTTCTGTTGAAAAGGTTAGTGAATTCTCTGCAACCTGCCAAGGACCCTCATCAAACAGTTGCAACAATAAACTTAGAACAGTCAGAAAAAGACAAAAAGACAATTAATACAGACACAAGGGTTTTCAACAGTAAACCATAATCTAGACTACAAACATGCAGAGGATGAGTCACACCAGCTAAGGTGTTCTCACACAGGCAGATTTTAAACAACACAAATTAGTAGAGACGGCCTATTTAAGTGGAAACTCTCACACAGGGTTTACACAAAAACATTAAAGTGATGAGAAACATAGAGCACAACAGCCCAGGATATAGACGTCTCCTCCCCCCACCAGTGTGAACACCGAAATCCTGCCAAGCTCTCAATTACCGCTCCACCTCCCCACAGGAGGTGGCTTTGCCTTAACAAGCCTTTAAGGACTCGTTTTCTGGAGACATGCTTCCCACCCAATGGCTTCTGTCTACTGATATTTGGCTTTTAACTCATCAGATTTTGATTTGTTACACCAAAAAAATTTTTTTATTTATTTATATAAAGATTAAATATATATATATATATATATATACATACATACATACATACATACATACATACATACATACATACATACATACATACATACATACATACATACATACATACAT